CTGAGGCACGTGCCCTTAGTGGGAACGTAACCCGAGTCTCTCTGGTCCATGGGCCGATGCTGTAACCACTGAGCCAAACTAGCCTGCTCTGCTGAGTGATATTTAAGTGAGGGCTCCTGAATTACCAAACTGGGAAGGCAGAACGTTCTAATATTGCTGCCAAACCTCAGGTGGAGAGTACTGTGATTTGTTTGTTCAGTTCATGTCTCTTCCCAATAAGTACTGCTTCCTTTGTCCCACATTTCTGTAATTGTTTCACTTCTATAATAGTTGAAGAATTAGGGACTGTGGTACCTCTAGGCATAAAATTCTCTAGCAGACTAGCTTTCTGAATTTTAATAAAGGACCTGAGACTTTGCATTCCTGAAGAGCTGGAACTTGGTTATCTTTGTCCTGCCTGTCTTACAGCCACCAAATTTAGTCATTGAAAGCTAGAGTGGTGTGGTGCTGACCTTTGCTCCCCTTGCTGGCTGTGTTAGTTTTCTCAATTGTATTTATTAATTTATGTAGGCCACACACATATTTATTGAAGCCATTACTTGGTGCCCGGCTGAGGAAAGGGGGTGATTTACTAAAGTATCACTCACTTCCCTCTTTCTTTATTCCCTCCCCACATCATCTTATTATCTTCAGAGAGAATCTCATTTAATTCTAAACCTAGGTCTATGAACTCCTTCAAATATAACAGTTTGTGATGTGTATTTTTCTGGTAACAAGGTCCATAAATTTCTTAAGCTTATCAAAGGAGTCTGCTGTACTTCAAAAAAGGTATTAACATGGACTGATCTAGCTCAGGCCTCTCATTTCTTCAGTGAGGAAGCTGAGTCCTAGAGAAAGGTAGAACTTGGTAATGGCTAATCCAGATTATAATACAAGAATTTTTAGGAGTTTAGAGACATTTTCTCCTAAAGTGTTAGCATTCTTGGTCACTGCATTCACGTTTTTTATCAGTGTCAGATAGGAAGATTCTCTCTATGTATCTCTTTTGCTGTCAATTCTTTCTTCCCAAAACATGTTCATTTTCCTCTGTGTAACCAACATTTGGTCTCATATCTTCCAGTTCTTTGATACCTGTGGCTCCTATTCTTTCCTGTGCTGTGCTTCTTGAATCTAAGAAAATCCCCTGGGTAGTATGTGAAAACTGCTCTTCCCTGTCAAAGCATTTGCCTAATTCTTTTCTTTTCATCTGAAGTCCCCAGGCTTGTGGCTGGCAAATTTGAACCCTCAACCCCAGAGGAGCTTTTCATTTTCAAGAAGTTGGCACGGAGTCAGGGAGCAAATACCTGCTTAGGTCATGTAGAGCTGGGATTGGTATCTAGGAATTTCTCCTTCTAGTTTTTACTGTCTTGGCTTCACTTTTAACTAGGGTTGAGGGAAGAGCATCTTGTTTCTAGTTGATAAAGATCTATTGCCAAGCCAGGGTACTACTTTTTGGCATGACCATAATGATTTCTTTATAAGTGGGGAATGAAGAGATTTCTAGGAATCTCAACCAGATTCTTACTTGTGCCCTTTCAGCTCTGTTGATAGCATCCTCTAAGTCCTTGGAGGCTTCTTGGTCCCCCTTCTCCAAATGAATCAAGTAAGTAGTCATAGTCACCAAATATCCTGTCTGCCTCTCCAAATACTCCCCTAGTCCTCTTCTGATGGCATATCACGATCTTACCCCAGAGTGTTCTCATACTATATACATTGTGAACACAATTTAGTGCTTTTTTGGAGCCCATCTCTCTTAGTTTGGCTTACAAGGAACAAATAGAGAGCTTTTTATCCAGAGGTTCTGACTATAATCCTTAGGAAGCTGCAGGTCATCAGAAGGCCCACAGGGGGCAGCACTAGGAATAGCTCTTCCCCTGTAATCCTCTCTGCTTAGGGAGGGGATACTGGGAGATGATGATTTTTTTCCACTAGGCTTCAGAATCTCCTGATTGAGATCAAAGACTCCTTTGTAGCAGGCTATTTGCTTGTTTAGTGTTGTTTCGGCTCTCCTGAGGAGTCCAGACTTGGTTTTCCATGATAATAAAAACATACATAAACATATATCTGAGCTATCCTATCTCCCGCAAACTAATCTGCCTACACATCATTTCCAGGCACCGTTAGCATTTGAGGTGAAGTTCTGTTATACACTCAGGCTGTGGCTCTCTGAAAGTCAGTGCATCACAGAACTTTGTCTCGAAAGCTTTCTAGCAGCTACCCATTTGGGAGTGGGAGGGAAGAACAGACCTTTTAAATCCCTTGAACATGGCCTTAAGCTTGTAGGGTCCTTCTCAATAATCAGCATTTAATGTGTTACAAGGTCAAGCCTAGTTCATTGTCGAGGAAGCCCATTTCTCAATAGCTGGGAGTTATTTATAAACTTGCCCTTTGCAAAAACTTAAAGATGAAATTACATTATCAGTAATGGCTTCTGGGGCCTTTAAACTGGCTGGTTTTATGATGTGAGAGGGACTCCTGGCCCTCCCCACTCCTGAGAGTTAAAGGCCCTGGGCTGAAGTGGAACCAGCTACAGTCAGGAGGTGGCAGGAGAAGTAAAGGAGAAGCTGCTGGCTCTAGCGGTAGCACAATGGAGAATTGAAGCAGCATTTAAGTTTTTGCCTAAATTCTCAGCTTGATTTAGTGTAGTTATAATCCTTTAGAAGTTTGACATGACCGGCCTTTTCTCTAGTTCCTTCTTACCCCTTTTAGAGCTGTAAAATAAGCCGGATTTGGTCTTCTCATTGACTTCCTTTGCCTGTCTTTTTTATCTTTCCCAGGAAAATCCAATATTTTTACTTGGGGGTTTCCATGATAATATCTTCTAAAAAGCTAGCGACAAGAGCCAGAAATCTGTTTCTCTTTTTTGCTAGCTGTTTTAGGTACTCACACTTAGTTGGCCACAAAGGACATTGTGTGACTCTCCTAGTTGGCAGGTGGCTGTAAGGGTTTTTCTTTTCTTTGGAATCCCATTCTTTCTAGGGATGCCAGGATCTATGACTATAAGAACCAGTTACCTATGCCAGCTCAATGCCCAGTTTAAACCATTAGGAATCTCTCTAAGGTTGCTGTGAATGGGTATAGAGGAACAGAGCCAAAGATTTCCAGGGAAAAGATTGTGGGAAAAAAATATTTTTTCTAAAGTTCCTTCCCTGTGGACTTCTTTCCCTCTCTTAAGGAAACTCATTCCCATTGGTGTCTTTCTTTTGATGAATTGAGGATCCAAGTTGTTATAGAACTGAGCCTGTTTTATGGGAAGATCTTTTTGTGGGGAATTAGGAGTTAGGAAAACTGCTTTTATTTGTGACCTATTAGATGAGAGTCTAGAGACTTTCTTCTGCTAGACAAAGAGTTCCTTCATTTGAGAGAGGAGTTCCTCATGCTTTGTTTATTCCAGAGAGTAATCTATACAGGGTGGGCATCTCTAAGGAGTGTTTATCACAGGAGAGATAAATTTGTAGTAATATCACCCAAAATGGCCACACTAGATAAGCTACCAATACCTGGAAGTGTAATTATAAGAGGTTCCCCTAGATGTATACTACATCAAAACATTTTTACTTTATTCTGAAACTTTATCTAGTCTCATAATCATTGAACAAATATTGAGGGTTTAGTATGGGTCAGGCATTGTTTTGGACACTTTGGATAAATCAATGACCAAAACACAAAAATTGCTGTTCTCTAAAATTCAAGTGGGGAAGCTTACATTCTTTACTTTGTTGTCAAAAGACTGGGTTGCCTTTACTCTCATTATTAACTCCCTGAGCTAGGGTTGGTTCTTTGCATGGAACCATAAACCTCCTGGAGCCTCATTGGACAGTTTACCTTTATAGATGCTGTAGTTTCTGGATCCTTAGCAATGATTCTTTTCTCCTGACCCTTGGGTCTTTGTTAAACACATGCTTGGAGAGTATATTTGGCTCCTGTGAGGACTGTGGTTTTCCTAAGTAAGCCAGGAAAGGGAGGTAGCAAAGCAAAAGCCTTGTCTTATAACACAGGGGAGAGATATCAGTGGTAAGTAATATTGATTAGAAAGACAAGGAATGTAAGCCTGCAAACACCTATACACATACCAATGCCTTCCTTCCTTTCTCGTTCTTCCTGTCCTGGTTAGCTGGCCGTCTAGAAGATGCAGGACTAGAGAAGGTTTTTGCAAAGTGATATGCCTTGTAGTTATTTGAGTTTTAGTGTAACCATTAAGGCGGAGGCTGTGATTCCTTTATGAGAGTCAGTGTCCTCCAAGTTTGATTCTTGGTAGTGAAGAAACACCCCCTCCTGCTCTTTATCTCCAGGCCCGAGTGTTTCTTAGCTTGATTCTCTTCTCATTGCTTCTTAACTTCCCCAAAATTCACATTGGTTTTTACCCTGGCAAGATAAGTGGTAGTGGTTGGGATATAGTACAAGAATTGGGATCATCGGGGAAGTCTTGGGAGATGGATGTCTCACTGGGCGGTATTCACTGTGTGTGTGTGTGTGTGTGTGTGTGTGTGTGTGTGTGTACATACATGCATGTGCTGACATTTTCCTCTGCTCAGTGTGTGGATGGTTTAGGGAAAGCTTACTTTATGCCTCTGCATTGCTGTTGCGTTGGGACTGCAGAAACTTCCAAGTACATTAGGGCATTCAGCCCTGTTTTCAGATAGCCGTGTGCAGTGCTTATTAATTAATCTTGTCACAGTCCATACCCACGTGTGCATAGGAGACCAGCAAGGGAGGGTAATTTGGAAATAGCTATAGCATAATATTTGGGAATAACAGCATGACCTACCTTGATTAAACATGCTGTGGGTCTGGCTCAGAGAAACTGTTTATCTGATGCTGCTTTTGAGTCCTTTGTTAAAATGCCCCCTCCCTCAATTCACTTCATTCACCACTTGGTCATTCTTAGTGGGAAATGTCAATATCTAACCAGGTTGGGACAGGGGACACACAGAGGACCCCAGTGGGGCTAGGAGAAGGTGTCTGGTTTGCCAGTGGTGGCAGGAGCCTTCAGGACTGAAGGTATGTTCATATCTCTTCAGGAACCCTCCCTGTATACTGTCAAAGCCATCCTGATTCTGGACAATGATGGAGATCGACTTTTTGCCAAGGTGAGATTCCCTTTCATGTTAGTTTAGGAGCAAGACAAAGACTTACTCTGAGATTTGAATCTTGGGACTGGCCCTATTAACTCATATTCCTTGATACTGTAATTTTGAGAATTCTTCCATTTTTCCCATGCCTACTCCAGATAAAACCTAAACTGCTTCCGTCCCTTAGTTGCCCTGCTTCTGTCCCTTAGTTGCCTTGTTTGCTATCCTCAGACTTTGACTTCCTTTGTTATCAGCATTAGAGCAGAGAACCTTAGAACCTTGGTTTCTGAAAAAAAAACAGTGTCTAGTTATGAGAAGTAACCACCCATGCCCATTACTCCTGTCCCTTTCCTTTCTGCCTTGTCACCTGCCTGGGTTTTTCCAGGGAAATTTCTTATAGGTTCCAGGGTTCCAACCCTAGGCCTACAGTTACCACCAAGGTTGTTACCCCTGGCTTTCCCAGTATGAAGTTTCTAACTTTGGATCTATTAAAAAAGAAGAGAAAGGACACCCCTCTGCTCTCCTCTATATTCTCCCCCTCCTGTAGAAATTTTGTCTGTCCCTGGTGTATTAACTCCGGGCAAGCATAGCATAAATCAATCAGCAGGTAGAGATTAGTTTAGAATTCACCAGCTGTTCCTCCCTGTAATTGGATGTAACTATGCAGGACACCTTTTGAAACAGTTATCCAGTTACTAAATGCCAGACCTGTCATAGGTCTTCAGCTGACTGCAACAGATTAGCCCCTAAAGAGCAGAGCAATTTAGCAGCCTGCATCTCCGCCCCCTTGCCAGGGAGAGCTTGGGAGTGGGCTCAGCAATGTGCTAGATTGCCTCCTGTTTCTTTCAGTTTTGCAGAAAAGAAAGCTAAGATATGAGAGGGAATAGGGTAGGGTTTGCCTTTCTTTAGAGGAGGTTTTTGTAGCCTTTCTCCATCCCTCAACTTCAGTGAATGAGGGTCTGCAAGAAGTGTTCTGTGCTTTTAGGGCCTTTTGTGTTCTCTAGCACTGCTCCCTGACATGGGGTATCTTCTAGGAAGCACTTGATGAGAGTGGTTTCAGGATTGCTCTCCTAGAATACAGACAAGGGCAGAGTCTCATCTTAGGACTTGTAGGCCTCTGCCCTTACAGTCTTAGAAATGTGAGGTGGGGTTGCTTAGAGCAGGGTCTTTTTAAAATTTTATTTTGTTTTCTCTTTATTGATTTTTAGAGGGAGAGGGAGAGAGACAGAAACATCGATGAGAGAGAACATCGATTGGCTGCCTCCTGCATGCCCCCACTGGGAATTGGGCCCACAACCTGTGCATGTGCCCTGACTGGGAATTGAGCTGGCGACCTCTTGGTGCATGGGTCAGCGCTCAACCTCTGAGCCACACCAGCCGGACTAGAGCAGGGTCTTTAACAAATTTTTTTTTTATTTGATTACTTGCCGCCCATTCCCTGCCTCTATAGTTCTTCCTTCTCCATGTCAGTATTTCTCCTTTACCCCATGCCTTGAAAGAGAGAAATCCAAGACCAGGACAAAACACAGTCACTAATCATTCTGGGTTCTGAGCTCTAATGACCCAACTCTTCTTTCCCTCTGACCAGTACTATGATGACACCTATCCCAGTGTCAAGGAGCAAAAGGCCTTTGAGAAGAACATTTTCAACAAGACCCATCGGACTGACAGTAGGTCATTTTCCTTTCACTACTCCCTGTGTTGGGGAAACTGTGGTGGGAAGGGGGTGGCAGCAGTACTGCGGAGAAAGGATAAAATGACTCTGCCTCCTTTTTCTCTTTTTTCCTCCTCCCTTCATATAATAAACTCTTCAGAAATGTAATGGGGAGGTGAGTGTACCTCACGCGGGAATACCATGCTGGAAGGTTGGCTGTTAGCTACCTGTCTAGTCCCTGGATTTATGAGCCTCACTTGACAAATTTAACTGCAGCTCTGCTTATTGTACCGCATCCATTAGGGCAGGTAAATGGAAGTCTGTAAAGGTGACCGCTCTGCATTTTCACCTCTGAAGGATCGACTGGTATCCTGTCTCATATACAAGGAGGGAAATAAGGGCAGTGGAAGGCGGGTGGTTAGAGGAGAAGATACATTTAGACTTCCCCCAGTTTATACTTCCCTTCTGCGACCACCTGAAAATAAAAAGCAGGTCAACTTTGATCTTTGGAGGTCATTCGATCTACATTATCTCAGCCTAGAAGAGCTGGATATCAGGAGTTCATGGTATCTCCATCTGTCCTACTTCCTTGTCTCAGGGCACCTACTGTTTCCACCTTTCCCCCCCAGGTGAAATCGCTCTCTTGGAAGGCCTAACAGTAGTGTACAAAAGCAGTATCGATCTCTATTTCTATGTGATTGGCAGCTCCTATGAAAATGAGGTGAGAATCCCCATCCCTCTTCACTATCTCTGATCCCACTTCCTAAACCACAGGCAGGACATAGTTACTAGTTCTGGGCCTTAGGAGTACCACATCCCTTTGTCTTCTTCTTCTTTATTTATTTTTTATTCTTACCCGAGGACATTTTTGCATTTATCTTTAGATAGAGCGGGAGAGAGAAACATCCGTGTGAGAGAGACACATCGACTGGTTGCCACCCACACAACTCCAACTGGGGCCAGGGACAAACTGCAACCAAGGTACTTGCCCTTAGCGGGAACCGAACCCGGGACTCTCTGGTCTGTGGGCAGACACTCTAACTACTGAGCCAAATAGGCCAGGGCTCCCTTTGGCTTCTGACGGGGCTAAAGCAGTTGTCAGAGATTCCTGCTGGCCTCACAAAAATGGCCTAGCAAATGAATCAACCTAGAGTATAAGTTTTCCCAGATCATTTTTATCTCCCTGTAGGAGATACCACGTGTGTTTTAATATATATTAACATACAATATTAATGATCTTCCCTGGATAGTATGTTTTAAGATGGATTTCAGAGATATGGTCAGGGTTGTGGGGACGCGTGCTCCACACCTGACTGAGTTTGGGTCAGTTAGCCAACATTCTGGGTCATATTGAAGCTATACATACTGAATGGGTATAGTCCTTGAGACTTGTACACTTGAGAAGATTGGGTGTAGTCCTAACCTGCTTTCTTTGCAAAGAAGAAGCTATTTACCTCAGGAAGCAAGTTCTAGGAAGGAGAGTAGATAAGTAAAAATAAACCCCCATATAATTTGAGGCAAAAGTAAAAGTTTGAGCCCTAGCCAGTTTGGCTCAGTGGTTGGAGCATTGGCCTGCGGACCAGAGAGTCCCGGGTTCAGTTCCCGCTAGGGGCATGTACCAAAAAAAAAGTTAAAGTTTGAGAGAACCAATTCTTACTGAGCTCTTATTGTTATAAGTGCTTTGTAAAATATGTTGTTATTTAAACCTTATTTCTTTGAGTTGTAGGCATTGGTGTGTCCTTGTTTTATAGATGAGGAACTGTATGAAATTACTAGTATTTAAAAAAAAATTGCCCTGGCCGATTTGGCTCAGCGATTAGAGCGTCAGCCTGTGGTCCAGAGAGACCTGAGTTCGGTTCCCGCTAAGGGCGCGTACCTCGGTTGCAGTTTGTCCCCGGCCCTGGTTGGTTGTGCGGGTGGCAGCCACTCGATGTGTCCCTTTCACATTGATGTTTCTCTCTCTCTCTCTCTCTCTCTCTCCCTCCCTCCCACTCTATCTGAACAAAAAATGGAAAAATGTCCTCGGGTGAGGATAAAAAAAAAACAAAACTTATTGATTTCAGAGAGAGGAAGGGAGAGTTAGAAATATCTATATGAGAGAACCATCAATTGGCTGTCTCCTGCATGCCCCCTACTGGGGATCAAGCCTGCAACCTGGACATGTACCCTGACCGAGAATCGAACCAGTGACCTCCTGGTGCATGGGATGACACTCAGCCAACTGAGCCACACCAGCCAGGCTGAAATTATTAGTATTTAACCACTGTTGAACTATTAAAGTGGCAGTTTCATGTGGTTCAACCTAATTTTCCCAAGGTTACACATCTAGAAAATGGCTTAGCTGGGATTTAAGCCCAGATCTGTCTGACTCCAAAGCCCATGCTCTTTCCACCAACTCTCTGACCTCAGCTATTGCTTGGTTAATGATTTCTCTATCTAAGATATCAGGTAGCATATACAGTTGGTAAATAAATGTAGAGGATTATGACAGGAAAGTTCTGTTTGAACAATCTGGTCAAAGACAGATATAAATTGTAGGATCATGTGGCAGAATTTATTTCTGTGAGAAACCACAGGTCCTCTTTCTGTTTTGCTCTCACTTCCACCTTATGCTTTGGGTCCTTTGTGAAAGCCTCTGTCTTTTGATGCTTAACGAATTAGAGGGTTTTATTTTCAGGAAGCAGCTTTCAGGGCCTTGAAACTTATCCTTCTGCTTTTTCTGTATCCCAACAGCTGATGCTCATGGCTGTTCTGAACTGCCTCTTTGACTCATTGAGCCAGATGCTAAGGTGAGCAGTCCATTCTTGACATCTGTTTGGGAGAGAAAATCGAGAATCTTCAGACCCAGGGATTTGTGGGGCATCAGCAGAGGCTTCAGGGAGCTGATTTACCATGAGAAGTTGGGCTTATTATTTCAGAGTAATTCACACTGATGGGGAGGACTAGATGGAGGGGAGAGTATGTTCCTTTGGAATAATTCTCCTAAGAAAGAGGATTGGGAGGGAGCAGAGTCTTCACCTCTATTTCTAATCTATTCCCCAGCGGCTCTGTCAGAGTTCTGAGCACCCTTATAGTGCTTTCCTGGACTTCATTCTTTACATTCGAGGTAGGAAAGGGGCAAGCATAGGGAAATGTCCCAGATAAATCATCAGTACCTTGGGAATGGAGGCAACACTCCCAATTTTTCACTTTTCGTTAGTTTTTTCCTTCTGTAGAACAGGAAGAATGTGCCCATTACCCTCTCCTCCCTTTCCACCACTCCACCAGTCCTCTGTTCCCCATGGATATGGGCAGTAGAAAAGATATAAGATACTTTTCCTGAAAACATACAGGACTCTGAAGTTCATTCCCCCAGTAGCTCCCACGCGAACCCAGCATAGACAGCCATCCAGAGCAGAACAGCGGGCATTCTCAGCCTCGCAAAATCAGCAGGGTGAATAGCTCAGATTTCCTCAGGAAGGGGATGATTTATTTCTTAGCCAGGTGAATGAATGGACTTCATTTCGGGTAATCTAGTGAAAGAGTCAAACTGACGGATGTGACTGGCCACAAGCACCAACCACCGGATCTGAGGCTGGTGGATGAAGGCCCTGACTGTTCCCAAACCCCTTGTTAGGCTTCTTTTCAAGACCTGAGCAGAGCTGGAGAGGGATGGGGAGGAGGGGAAGCAGAGAGGCTTAGAAGGCTTGTCAGGGTTTGAGTGCAAATAGAGTTTGCACTCAACCCCTCCCTACCTCCACCACCTCTAGATAGAGTTTTCGCTCTGTTTATTTCCTTTTTTCTACCCACTGATGTCAGCATTTATGAGCAATGTCACGAGCAGCATCATGGCAAGTAGGAAAGAGGGAATAATAGCTCTGGATAATCAACTCTTGAGTAGTCAGAAATTAACTGAATTTTTTAAATCTCTTTCCTGACATTCCTGATCCTTTCTCAGCAAACAAGAATAGGAAGGGGTTTAGCATGGATTAGTTTAAAAGTTCTTATTTACCTTATTTACTTCTTTGTGTGGTTGGTGGAGACATTTATTGGTCTAGTGTATAATCCCAACTTGGACAATGTCCTAGGGTTCCTTTCACACATGGGCTGGTGTTTTTTTTCTTGGGGACTCAGGAAAAATGTAGAAAAGCGAGCTCTGCTGGAGAACATGGAGGGGCTCTTCTTGGCTGTGGATGAAATCGTAGATGGAGGGTGAGTTCTCTGATTTGCCTGGACCTCCCTGGATTGGGGGTGTGTGTATCTGTGTGTGTGTCCCTATCCTAAGGCAAGTGGACTGAGTGGCCAGTGAGTTGGTCCTTCAGGAGAGAGTGAATAATGGCCTCTTCTTTGTCTTTGTAGGGTGATCCTAGAGAGTGATCCCCAGCAAGTGGTACACCGGGTGGCACTGCGGGTAAGCAGGAGTGTTTCTCTCTTTTTTTATCCTTACTCGAGGATATTTTTGCATTTATCTTCAGATAGAGTGGAAGGGAGAGAAGAAGGAAGAGAGAGAGAGAAACATCGATGTGAGAGAGACACATCGAGTGGTTGCCACCCATACAACCCCAGCCGGGGCTGGGGACAAACTGCAACCAACCGAGGTATGTGCCCTTAGCGGGAACCAAACCCAGGACTCTCCAGTCCGCGGGCTGACACTCTAACTGCTGAGCTAAACTGGCCAGGGCAGGAGTGTTTCTCTATATTCCTCCATCTACTCACTTTTCAGGGCCAGACTTGCAGGGTTTGGGCTTGTAGAATACATACAGTCTCCTCCTTTTTCAAATTCTTGTTGTCCCAAAGAAGGGAAGCAGAGGAACGTTATTTCTGCCCCTAACCTGGTACCTAGCACCTCATATGGTGCACTCTTTGCATAGAGTGCACATTTAATACATGCTTATTGAATCAGTGATAAAGCAAAAGAGATTTTAATATTGTTGGTCCTGAAGCTATAAAGGAACTTGAAGTTTGCTTGTTCTTCCTTTGGGATGGATCACAGTCATTTGAGGCAGAGGAGTGTCTTCCTTGTTTTTTAAGGTCTTATTAAACTGAGGGTAACACCTCTCCATCAGGAAGTACTTATTTTGCTAGTACCTCAGTCCTCTTTAGTGCTAGTGATGTCAGAAAAGGGCCTCTGAGTTAACCATAGAAGGCTCCAGGTCTGCTGGGGAGATAATGATGGGTACAGAGAGAGCCCACCAGCAAATTGTGGGGGTGCAGAAATGTCTGAGCAAAGCATATCTCCCCATTCACAGAATGTCCCGGCTCTGACCTCCACAGAGTGAAGGCTGACAGTGCTGGGTAATGGGAAATCTTTTCCCTTAACTGCCGTGGGCTCCATTTGCATAGTTTAATCTTCTCCTCTAACATATGTCTCTATGTGGCAAGAGAGAGGGTCCTCCCCACCCCAACTCCCTCCTTCCCCTTCTCAGGCTGCTGTTGCAGCAGTTTATTTCTTCAAATTAACATGCTGTCGTTACCCATCAGGCCTTGCGGGATCCATTAAACTATCCCTGGCTCCCCCTCATCCTTTCCCTAGTGATATTGATATTCAGGGAAGGTCTTCTCTGACTAGGGAATCAGGTCCCCCTAAGTTGTGGATCACATAACCTGCTTATTACTTGAAATTGAATAAATCTTTTTTTTTTTAATCCTCACCTGAGGACATTTTTCCATTTTTGTTCAGATAGAGTAGGAGGGGAGAGAGAGAGAGAGAGAGAGAGAAACATCAACATGAAAGGGACACATCAAGCGGCTGCCTCCTGCACAACCCCAACCAGGGCCAGGGACAAACTGCAACCGAGGTATGTGCCCTTAGTGGGAACTGAACCCTTGTCTCTGGACTGCAGGCCAATGCTCTAACCGCTGAGCCAAACTGGCCAGGGCAATTGAATAAATCTTTTAAGAAGTCCTTCTGCCTTAAAATAGAGGGTGGATAAAATGACTGTTTTTTGTTGTTGTTGTTGGGTTTTTTTGCTCACAGTCCCTCTGGCCAAGTAAAATTGTGGCTGTACTAGTCCCTGTAAGGGACTGAGAAGTTGAAGGTATCTGCCCTTTGCTTCAATTTAAAGGACCACCTCTTCCTTGTCCAATATCAAACTTCAATCCTGTCTTACTCCAGCTCCCTCCCACACTAAATGCTTTTCCCTCTGTGTTGTAGGGTGAAGATGTCCCCCTTACAGAGCAGACTGTGTCTCAGGTATGACTTTTTCCTATCTCCTTCTCCAGATGGACTGGGTCACTAAAGAGGCTAGAATAGCATTCCACCCCAACCCACAAAGTCTAAGTGAGAATAGAGACTGAAGACACATCTTTGGCTTCCTCTTATTCTAGAGAACTAGGACTCACACAGCCAAATGCTCTTACCCCACCCCAACTCCCATCCCAGTTTCCTGTGAACAGTAGCTGTCAGCCTTGATGTGTACCCTTCAGACCCTCCCTGCCTGATGCCTCATTCATGATTTATTTCCCAGCAGAGGCTTGCCTTAAGCAGATGGTCTATGTGTGTACACACGCACTCTCTCTCTCTGTTACTGTTCAAATGAGGGCAAAGCTGGAAGTGCATATTCTAGAACATGTAGGTTCTACAGATCCATCCTGCTACTTTGCAAATAGATTTGTCTACCTGATTTTGGGGGGGGGTGGCAAGGGAGAGATTCTGTTTTCCACCCATTTGGAATTCTCAACCAAGAAATCCATCTGGATGTGGTAACACACACACACCCCTTTTAACATATGTCCGGTAACCCCCAGTTTTTTTCTTTCCTCCCAGGTATACCTCTTCTCTCTTCATCCTCCCAATGGATTTGATTTTTTTTGCAATTTCCCAAACTGACAATCCTCTAGGCCCTTAGAGAGCTTCTTCCCATTCCTCTACCCTTGGGGATTTTCTATTTGCCATTCTTCTAAGGACAGGGAAGGCAAGTGAGGGGAAGGAAAGCCCCAATTCCCATCCCCACCCTGTCCCCCAGCAAGCCCCTCAATGCTGCCCTTGTCCCTGCAGGTGCTGCAGTCAGCCAAAGAACAGATCAAGTGGTCACTCCTTCGGTGAAGACCCTCCTGTTCCTGGCTCCTCACCCCCTCAAAAAATCCGCATGTCTGCTGTGACTTCTCATCCAATCCCCCAGCTGATGCTCTCAGGATCATCTCGGGGGTCACAAGGGATCCTTAAATCTTCATCTTGTCTGTGGTTGCTCCCTCCAAACCCCTAGGCGCTTCCCATTCCTTCTCACTTTTTTGCAGTTCTGGGAGTAAAGCTCCCAGGAGAATTGGATGCAGAGCAGGGGAAACACCTCTTCCTTTCTAGACTGGATTATGCTCCTATGTTTTCCTACCCTGCATATTTTCTTCTTAACTTCTGTGCCCTTTGCTGCAGCTACACATCAGATCAAAGCAGGAGAAAGAATGTGCTGAGTGTTTTTCTCCCTTTACCTTTATCCCGCCTTCATCCCAACAGTCCATATGTCCTGCAAGGGGAAGGAAAGAGAATTATTTTCTATAGAATGAGTGAGGGTTGTGGGAAGGTATATCTAGTCTCAGCCCCAGCCCCCCATACTGGCTTCAGCATTTTGTCTCATTCCTTCTTACTGTTCCGTCCTCCAGCCTTGGAAAAAAGATTGAAACAGCTCATAGACGGGACAGAGTGGAAGAAGCACTGTTTTAAATTTTATTGAATAGGGCTTATAAAATTTTGTATTTCAGTCACAGCTGCATTCTTTACCCTGATTCTGGCTTATAGCTTCAGAACTGCTGTGGTCTGTGAGTGTTCATTGTGGGAGCGTCCAACTCTCGGTCCGATACCTTAACTCTACCTTCACTACCATGGGATCTTTGCCTGGCTTGTCCTCTCTGTGCCCTGGAGGAAAGCCAGTCCCTGAACTAAAACTTCATTCTAATCTTGGGAAGAAGAGTTTCTTCTCAGAACTAGGGAGGGGGTGGAATTTACGACTTGGGCCTCTGGGCTCTCTCAGTCCCCTGTTCGCTCCCCCACATGCTTTTTACTCCTCTGCCTTGGGTCTGCGGTCTCTGCCACTTAACCCTCTCCTCTCTCTGCCTCAGCCTTACATCCAGGCAATAGGTCTAGGCCCTTCCTCTCCCTAGGTTGCTGAGAGAGGTGCCTTTCTTCAGAAAACCTTCCGGATTTGAATTTCCCTAGGAAGAGGGAGGATAGAATACCTACTCTTGGGTCTAAACTTTTTCCTTGACTCAAAACTTCCCATGAAAATGTCTCAAAAAACCTTCCTGAGACTTAGTGTTCTGCCCCACCCATTAACTGCCAATTCTCCAAGACTGAAGTGGGGCACATAACGGGGCATATTTGAGGGGGCATTTTTGTGTAAGAGATGTATGGAGTCAGGAGCCACCTTCATATACTGCTCTGTGCAAAGAGGAATAAAACAATTCTTTTTTCAAACTGCCTTTGTGTGATGTTTCTGTTCCTCTTCCTCTCTTTTTGGCAGCTGCTCCTATTCCTCTAGCATCCTTCCCCCTCACTCCCCATCTTATATTTCTTGCCTCTTACCTCAGAGACTCCCCAGCATTCTCCCCCACCATCACTGCCATACCTAATTTACAGGCCTGTTTGCCTCCTTGGCATCTCTCAGTCCCCTTGCCTGGAAATTGGCGCCAGGGGTGGGGTGGGGATGGTATTTTCTCAGTGGGAGTCCCAGGGAACTGAGTTCTCCCCTACCACCCCCAAAGCCAGCTGCCTGCTCCCGCCTCTGCTATTAGTAACCCGGAGACACGCACCTGCGTGGGGGCTCTCCTCCAGACCCTGTTCCCTTCCTGCACCTCCCACTCCTGCTCTGAAATGGCGCTGAGCGGGTTATTTATCGGAGCCAGTGCTGCTCCAGAAGGTCAGGACGGTGGTGTAAATAACCTCTTCTCGCCATTTCCCCGTCCCTCTAGAGCCTGCTCCCCCCACCCCTCCTCCACCTTTATTCTCACAAATGAAAGTGGCTGGGCTGGCGCAGAGCCTGGCCCTGCATTTTAATGGGGCAGTGAGCTCACAAGATGGATTTAGCTGGGGGTTTTATGGTTGCCTCGGCGACAGGAGAATGCTTTGGTTTTCTTTCCCCCTTCCTCTGCAGGATTTTAAGGAGGGGGAAGTGTGGGGAGCCCTCCTCTACACTGCTGTTTGAAGGGTCTCCTTCTCAGTCACCTCTACTGCTCATGAGATGGGCCTGCAATTTCAGAATTCAGCAAGAGAGAACATATTTAGGACCTCAGATAGGAAAGAAAGAGAGAAAGAAGGTAATGAGTGGGAAGAGTCTCCAGCATCAGACATGAAACCTGGAGTAGTCCAGTCTTGCCTGCTCTTCTGTGAGAACCTGGCAATTAAGCTGAGCAACTGTGGAGCACTTGTGGTCAGGATCCCCCTCAGCAGATAGAAAAAAGGAAAAATGCTTGGGTATACCATCCCTGCCATCCTGCATTGAAAATTGGGATATAGGGGGCTAGATGAGCGCTAGGTATGTGTCTTTGCCTGTCTGCAATGGGGAAAAGTGGTGTCAAACATTACCATCCTGATCTTCCTACTCATTACTCAGCATTGACCCTGGGCAGGAGGCATGTCAGTGTGAGAATTGAGAGGTGCTGATCATTGACGGTGTGGAGAATGGAGTTTTATCCAGTTATTAAATTTGAAATTCTCAGATCTTGTTTCCCCAGCCTGGCCTAGTTTGAATATTTCCTCCCTTCTGTTTCCCACTAGGAATGGAACTCTGGTGCCCTGAATTATCCAGTCCTCTGACCAAAAATTTTCTTTCAAGACTATGAGCTGCCCAGCTGGTGTGGCTCAGTGGATTGAGCATCCTCCCATGGACTGAGAGGTCCTGGTTCGATTCCTGGCCAGGGCACATGCCGGGGTTGCAGGCTCCATCCCCAATAGGGGGTGTGTAGGAAGTGGCCAATCCATGTTTCTATCTCTCCCTCTCCCTTCTCTCTCTGAAAAAAAAAAAAAAATTCAAGACTATGAGCAAACCATCCCCAGCACTGACTAAGCAGAGACTGGGGAGCAGGGTCTGATTATCTCCCTCCTTTGGTCTTTTTCTGATTGCAGGCCTCTCTCTGTTTATGAATCCTTCCCTCTTCCCCAGGGGACCCTGGGAAGCCCCTCCTGCCCTAGCTCCCTTCCTTCTCTTTGGCTGGGAAAGTGACTGCAGCCTGAACAGTGCCAGACACCTGCCTGCCAGATGTGGCAATTCCCCATTCTTCTCTTCCCCCTCCCCAAATGTCTATCCTTTCCCCCACCCCACTGAGCTCAGGCAGAGAGAGCCCCCCCACAGAGTGATTTAGTACTCCTGGCCCCTCTTCCTCAAGTGCCCCCTCCAGTTCCTCTCCCAACCCCTGGTGCCGATGCCCCTCCCCCCTTTTTTCCACCACGTCCTGCAGAGGCCTTTCTGGTACTGCCTCCTCCCACTCCCACCCTGGGGAACCCACTTGTGTAAGCCCCAGCTCCTGGGCTGGAGAATGAATGGGTGGGGCAGAGGTGATTGGCCTCTGTTTCACCCATGGAATAGTACATCAGCAGGGCTGAGGACAGTGGCAGCCAGAGCTGATGTCATTCTCACTGGTGGGGAGGGGAGGTGATCAGGGAGGAGGAGGTGAGTGGGGAGGGAACCAGCACTCCAAGACTGCAGAAGAGAAAGAGGTCTGAGAACTCTTCCCAGGTAGGCAAGGGAGCTCAGAATTGTGTCTGCCTTGTGGACATCATATCTATTTCTCTGGCTGGTTTCCAGATCTTGTCTCTGGGTCTGTGTCTCAATATGACTCAGTAGATGCCTCTCAGCTCCTCCCCTTCAGAATGACCTAAAACACATACTTAAAGGGAACTCTTAGTCCTTACCCTTCTCTCTTTAGTATCTTTTCTTTATCAATCTCTCTTCCCTCCCATTTCAACCCTCCTCCCTTAGTTGAGCTCTGTTGGTCACCTGGCCTCCCCCACCCACTTTCTTTTCTTTCTTTTTTTTTTTTTTTTATCCTCACCCGAGGATATTTTTCCATTTTTTGTACAGATAGAGTGGGAGGGAGAGAGAGAGAGAAACATCGATGTGAAGGGACACATCGAGTGGCTGCCACCCACACGACCAACCAGGGCCGGGGACAAACTGCAACCGAGGTACGCGCCCTTAGCGGGAACCGAACCCGGGTCTCTCTGTACCGCAGGCCAACGCTGTAACCGCTGAGCCAAACTGGCCAGGGCCCACCCACTTTCATCTCATATCATAACACTATGATCCCAGACTGCCCACCAAGGCAGGGACTCATGCAGAGCCTCTTTTCTCTTTCCCATCCCTCCTTGAAATCTGAATGTCTCCCTGGGCCAGACAGAGGTCTTTGGGGTGGCAGTGAGGTAGGGGAATGGCTGGGCCTAAGAGGGCAGAGGGAGGACTGATGGAAAGTTCAATGAAGTAGAAGGGAAGAGTGGGACAGGAAGATCATCGAAAGACAAGCACAGTGAAAAAGAGTGACAGAGACAAAGGCAGAGGCTAAGAGTGAGCAGAAAGCCAGCATAACAAGCTGAGAGAGTGAGAGAAACAAACCCACACAAGGAGAGCAGCAATACTGGGTGCAGAATAAAAGAGTAGAGAAATAAAGACAGGACACAGCTAGAGAAGGCAGCTGGGGAGGGGCTGGGCAAGGGGCAGTGTGGTTCTCCTGGGCTCCCTCCTTCTGATGTTCCATAAATCTGTGTGTTTCTGCCTGTCTATGTGCATGTGCACACTGCATGTGTGCAGGGGTTGGTGATGGGCACGGATGATTCCCACAATATCCTTATTCCCCAGTTTCTTTCAGGAGGCTCCTTCCTTGAGGCACCCCACACCAAACCCTCATTTCCCAGTACTCCTGATGCACCAGGGGCCATTTCCAATGTATTTCCACATCTCAGGAATCCTGGCTTTCTCACTTGGAATGCAGACCTGCTGGAATGTGCAGTCAGGATCTGTAGAATCAAGAGGCCCTCTATCCCCTCACTGTCTACCCCCCATGCCTGCTCACCAGCTGCTCCTGTCCATCTTCTCCTCCTACTCTCCTTGTATCTCTCCCTCCTCCTCAATGACCCCTCCCCCAGCCTCTTACCCCTAGCTGGCTGGGGCCCAGGTTGGAGGGGAGACAAAGACAGGATTTATAACCAGGACTGAGAAGCAGTCAGAGACTAGAGCAAGGGCAATGGCTGACCCCCTCCTGGGATGGGAGGGAGTGCTTGGCCAGATGCTGGGAGGCTGGAAGCCTGGGTTCCAATGGCTCTTGCTAACAACCCCCACCTTTTCCCATCTCAACCTTGCTCTCCTCCTTGTCCCTGGAAACTTAGGAAATGGAGAGAGGATGGCCTCCAGCTGATTTTAGGCTCTGAATGAAAACCTGGGAGGAGACTGATGTCTTAGGGTTATTCTCATATGGACA